AATCAGTCATTTTCCACTAAAGGCTAACAACTCACAGTTAATGCAACACTTTCCCCACATGCCTGCGGTCAGAACTAAGCCCTTGGGAGCTGCCAGGGGTGTCTATTGGAAGACACAGATTCCAGCACGCGTGCCCCTGCAGAACAACTGAATCAGGACCTGAGACAGGTAGCCAGGAACCTGCAATGCCAACACACTTGCAAGAAATTACTATGTCAACACAGAGACATTTGAAATCTACTTTGCTGAGGGTGTAATGAGCACTTACTCTTTAATGAACATTAATTGACCATGATTACTTTTGCTTTGATTTGGGTACCTGGGAGGACTGGCTGGGGCGAGTTGTGACGAGGATCATCACTCTGGACTTTGGGTAGCCAGAGACCCTCTGGAGGTGGGAGAAGGTGAAGAGATGAGAGTGGGAGAGGCCAAGGCCCACCACAAGAAACCTCCAGATTCAGAGCCTCCATCATTCCTCTCTCCGTCTGATGTTACCGCGCCATGGAAATCATGCCTGATGCTTCTGTCTCCTGATGCCCACACCCCCGCCCTGTCCCTCCCCTTTCCCCCCACGGATGTCAGGTACCCTCTTAACTTTGTAAAACTTCCAACTCCTTAACCTGCAGACTAGGGAGTCAGTTGAATTCTTCATGTTTTCTTAGGTGCTGGGATTTTTCTTTTCCTCTGTGACGGTGCCCCTCCTCCTGGAGTCCACATGGAGAGCACATGCCTTCCTCGCTAGGTATTTCTCACACCTGGGCTGTCCCCCTGCCTGGACCCCCACATCGTTCTACATCAGTGGAGCTTAACATTGGCTGCACATCTGAATCCTCTACAGAGTTCTTTAAACTAATGATCCCTGGATCCCAACTCCAGAGGTTCTGATTTAATTGGCCAGGGGTGTGCCCTGGATACTGGCATTTTTCAAAACTCCACAGTTGATTCTAATATGCAGCCCAAGAGTCACTCCTCCAGACCCAATAACTGCTACACTGCAAAGAATTTATAGGACCAATGCTTCTCAACACTGACTACATATTAGAATTACCAGGGTGGCTTTAAAAATTACAAGTCCTTGGCTCTACCCCAGACCAAATGAATTGGAATCGCCCGAGGTACCGACCATGCATAAGTAGCTTTCAAAACCTCCCAGGTGATGCTAACATGCAGCCAGGATTGAAAACCACTGGTACAGACCAAAGGTGTGGCCAGGAGCAATCACGGACGGAAGAATTACTGAATGTCGCCCTGTGGGTGAAAGCAACGGAATAAGGAAAATATTCTCCACTTACACGGCTGCAACAATGAGAATATTTTTTGTTTTGTTTTGTTTTTTCAGGCTCTCATTCAACTTCATCTATTTGCCTACCTTTTCCAACTGTTAGTTGGTCACCTGCCTGCCAATATTTGTGCACAGGCTCTAGGAGTTTACAGTCAGTAAAGTATCCCACCTGCAGACTTAAAGAGCGCTATTATCTGCCGCGAAGTTGGCGTGATTGCTTCTGTATTGCAAAATGATTTTATCTGCTGGTCTTTCCCTCTATCAGTCAGAGAGAGAAAGAAGAACCCAGAAAACGAGCAACTTAACAAGCCTGGCTGCGGAAATTTGAGGTTTCTGAACATCGACTGCCTACTGTTGCGCTGTCCCTAACATCAGAGATTATTACTACCAACTTTTCTCCAGGTTCATATTTTTTAACAGTAGATATTTAGGACTGTATTTTTGAAATGTCTTATACTACTTTATTACCTGTTTATCATATGAACCAAGAGGAGACATTTAGTAATGTGTTCTATTTTTAAAAGGGAAACATTTGGCACTAAAATCCAAGGTACACACATTAAGAAATAAAGATCAGGGAGTAATGGGATCACTGAAGACTATACAAGGCTAAAGAAATGCCAGAGTCATTAAAATGGCCTGTAATGTTTCCATTTCCAAATTCACTGGTTATGCCTGTTGTTCTCATATTTATCCTGATGAAGACACAAGACAGCTCATTCTTCATTTATTAAAACACTGGGATTAATTTACAGATTTTGCGATCTCCTTTGATTTCCCTTTATCTGCACTCTTTTTATTGTCTGATGTTCACTTTACCACAAAATCAGTCCTTTTCCATAGGTTAGGAGATAAGGGAGGGAAAAGGGAGTTTCTGGAAATGTCAGTCCCTTTTCTATGGAGTGGCCATTCTGATGAAGTCTCAGTATTGGAAGAGTAGAAAATACTGATTAAGGCCAGGCACGGTGGCTCACACCTGTAATCCCAGCACTTCAGGAGGCTGAGGAAGGCAAATCACCTGAGCTCAGGAGTTCGAGACCACTCTGGGCAACATGGTGAAACCCCGTCTCCATTAAAATACAAAAAATTATCTGGGCGTGGTGGCACCCGCCAGTAGTCCCAGCTACTTGGGATACCGAGGCGTAAGAATCGCTTAAGCCCCAGAGGCAGAGGTTGCAGTGAGCCTAGATTGCACCACTGCACTCCAGCTTTGGCTACAGAGTGAGGAAAAAGAGAAAGAGAAACAAGGAAGGAAGGAAAAAAGGACGGAAGGAAGGAAAGAAGGAAGGAAGGAGAGAAAAGGAAAATATTTATTGTTAGTTTGGAGAATTATCTTAGAATTTAATATACTTTGTTCCAAGTTCTTTTAGTATAATATTATAGACATTTGCTAGTGCCCTCTCAAACCCATCCCTCTTTTTCACTAGCAGCCCATTACCTTCCCACTGGGCAATATACTCTTCCAGTTTTGTTCAGTCAGGTGCAGAATAGCTGAGTCAAAACAAATAATGACACAAGCCATATTTGCAGGAAGCAGTCTGTCATTGAGATATAGTGAAGGAGAAAGACAGATTATAAACAGACCTACGCTTGCCAAATTATGTTAAGTGAGAAGTAAAGAGTAAAAGAACTGTCTTTTACACGCTACCCTATGGAAAAAGAAAAATTCCTGACAGCCATTATTCTGGCCTCTCCACGTTAACAACTTCTTACAAATAGCTGTGAGCAACAGTAAAAATGAATCAGCATAGGAACTATGTGAAAATATTACAATAGCAGAGAAGGAGAAAATCATAAAAATAAAAAAATAAGGAAAAAATTGCTCAAAAAGTTTTTTAAATTTTCAGTTTTTGACTGAGTTTTTCTAAGTACACACTGGGGTCAGTTGGGGGGAAATAGGGGAGGGATGGTGGGGGGTGGGGAGCTGGGGAGAGATAGCAAGGGGAGAGATGCCAGATGTAGGTGATGGGGAGGAAGGCAGCAAAATCACACCGCCACGTGTGTACCTATGCAACAATCTTGCATGTTCTTCACATGTACCCCAAAACCTAAAATGCAATAAAATAAATGGGAAAAAAAATAAAATAAATAAAAATAAAATTGTATACAAATATTTTTGAATGTTTCAAAATCCACTGACAGCGAATGCAAAGTTTTGAAGATATCTACTCTAAGAAACTCTTCCATCCAGGAGAACAGTTTTATCTGCTCCAGCAGTGCCCTAAATTCTTCCTGGTGTGACCTCAGAGAAAGAAGAAAGTCATCATATATAAATTTCAGAATACCAACAATGAAAATATCTGACTAAAAATGCTTCTTTCTTCCTGTGAAGGAAACTGTAACCTATGTTTTCCATAATAGAAAAAAAAAGTATTTTGAATTTTCATACTGATTGCTGTTTCTTTTCCTTCTTCTCAAAGAAGGAGGGAGTTATAAAAGAATTGAAAACCAGTAGAGAATGCCATCTGTTAGTAATGTGTACAATGCAGTTCAACACATAATTCCTTAAATTGTTCACATCCACCTGATCTGCAATGCTGCAAATATGACCAGACCTCAAATGCAGCTAACTCCAAGGTGAGCATGAGGTTGGCATGGGGGAACCAGGCTAGAACAATACAACTCCTAGATTACACAGTGACCAATCACATTTGCAAATCAAGGAGAAAGAAAGTGAATTGATCCCTAAATGCCATTTTCATTAAAATCTTGCTTGTATGTATTATTATTAATCCCAATCCTTAGAAATGTTGCTGTCTCACAGAACTTTATTTCTGCAAATAAGGTCTGGAAAATTCATGGATATGAGAGTGGTGAGCTTGAATAGATAGCTGAGACAGGAATCTCAGCATCCCTAATTACTAATTGGCTAATTCTATTTAGCCAATGAATAAACAAAATTTCAACAAACATTTTTTGAGATTATGCAATATGAAGAGATCTGATTTTACAAAGTTAAATATACAAATAATGGTGAATATCATTCTCTATTAAGAATAATAAAGAATAACAATATTGTTATATTAGAGAATATAATATTATATTAGAGAATATAACATTACAGAACATATTATTCTCTATTAATAAATTATAATATAAATAATATATTTTCTCTATTAATAATTCCCTTATTGTATTATCTATTAATAAAATTAATGAGATAATATATTCATAAATATAACAATAAGTATTCTCTATTAATGTTCTCTATTAATACTTTTCTAATAATTATTATAATATTCTCTATTAATAATAGATAGATAGATAGATAGATAGATAGATAATTTCTCATTCCCTTCTTCTCTCTCCCTCTCCTTTAAAAATGTTTTCTGGGTTCATTAGAGGTTCTTGACTCTTTTTCTATGGATTCATCTCCCAATGACTCATTAGAGTCTCTTGAATCCAGAAAACATTTTTAAAGGAGAGGGAGAGAGAGGAAGCGAGGGAGAAATATCCCAGTTTTTGCTAAATAATGGTAACTGTACTTAGTCAGCTCTGCTATAATGCAACGTATGGATTCCTAAATATCACTGCATACACAAAATCACACAACAAAAACCTCAGGGCTTATACAGAAAACGAGGTTAGGGACATAACACTGAAAAACTTTGTCAGTAACGTGTTTAACAGTTAAGAAATATGAATCTAAAGCCAAACGGTAGAGCGTATGTTAAACAGTTAAGAAATCATATATACTACAGTAAATATGGCATTTTACCTTGAGAAGACCTGAAGATTGCTTGCAGAAGTGGGCATCACAGGCTGCTGATTGAGAGTTGTGAAGTGACAGAAGAAAGGTTATTTGCATAGGAAGGAAGTCAGGACACCACTCACCACGTGCATGAGTGTGCACAGCCGTGGCATCACACATTTGGCGAACTTGAGTAGCTGGCAGATATTTAAAGTGTGTGCGCTTTGTGTTCCCTACAAGGCTTGGTGCAGTGGGTGCAGTGTTCTGGATTCACCTAGTGTTTCTCACTGACAAAACTGAACAGAAGCCAACACGAAATTCACATTGTGTTCAAATTGAGCCCTAACTTATCAGTCATGCTGGAACAAATTCAGGTTTCAAAAGAAGCATTATAACACAACTGACTTACAATACATATGTTCATATTCTCGTCTTTAGCAAAACAGTGTTCTAAATCATCCACAAAGTATATTTCATTATTATTCTTACCTAAGCCATTCAAACAAAATAATTCTCCAAAAATTTGTATTTTAAAATAAGAACGGTAACGCCACTACTTGCTAAAACTGGCGACAGTCCCAACCCCAGCTGCAGGTTCAGCATGCCACCTGCCTCATCAAGCTCCAAGGCAACAGGACGTAAAGCTGACCTGTGGATCTAGAAGCTGGGGCCCTCAGCCCCCAAAAAGAGAGCTAGGTGTCTTTTTGTCGCTGGCAGTGAGTGCTGCTGATACCCAACTACCCCAGAGACCATTTCCGGCTTCAATAGCATCGCATGCTGTGAGTGGGTGCTGAAGAAAGACAGCATCCTGCAATTCACCTTCGGTTCATCCTCTTGTCACTTTTCCTTGCACGGACTTAAAACAAAAATCATCCTTTGCCTTTCTGTATCCGTTTAGCATAGGCCATCTCATATCTGATATGTGGTGGACATTTTGCCACAACAGGCAGTTAAAGCAGTGCCTTTAATATTTATGTAAGAACCTAGGTTTCCTCTACTACCTTAATTATTTACCCTGTTTAAGTGCACATCAAGTCTCAGGCTAATGGGTGGTATATTCTTTTATATGGGCTCACATCCCAATGAAGCATTGTGACTGTCTGGTTGTGGTGATTCCTCGGAGCCTGTGAATACGTCTATTCTCTATAGAAGCGAAGCTTTCCTGGGTTATATCAGAAAGAAAAACAAATGGGAGTACCCAAAGCACCATGGCCATAGAATTTTCTGCACACACTTCTCTCCCAAAGGACTCAGGCCACCCCATGGATGGCACACAGAACAAACACCACGCTGACATTGAAACCAATGGCGTCTGCCTTGAGAAAACTCCACCAACTTCTCTTTAAATGTTTTGGCTTAATTTCACTTGGCTGTACATAAATTATTCTATGGGGTTTAATTCCTGCAAAAGAGAATATAATCCAACCTTCTGCTACAAATGCAGCTACAATTGCATTCCAGTGCCAAGCAGCAGGGAGAGAAATCAAACAGTTGGCCCCTAGTGAATTAATCTATATGCCCCAGTTTCCTAACACTAAGCATGCCTCAGACAATAGGCTGGGTTTTAACTCTTTCTCATCAAGCCTTCATCATAAGCAGTCAGACTGCATTCTTCTTCTCACTTCTCACCCCATTACTCAACAAAGAATATCTTTTCGCATGAAACCTGAGCTAACATACTCGGTAACCAATGCTGGAGTTTGCAGTAAAAAGTCAAGTCTCACCGTCAGAAGCACATTAGCATACAAAATATTTCTATAGGAAGAAAAAAAATCGGTGGATTGCAGGAGCTGCACACTCCATTGTCTTAAATGTGGCTGTTTTCAGTCAGAACATTCACCCACCTCTACTTTGAGATAATGCATGTTCAGATCGTGGTAACCTTTTATAGCAATCGTAGGCCCTGTGTAGGAAGGAAATGTTAAAACTACACCCAGTTAGATTCTATGGAAATTGGGGGAGTCTTTTAGACAGAAACCAAGACAAAGAGGTCAAAATAATCACTTTGCAAGGACTGTTCGTTGCTGTGAACGTCACTTAGCAAAGAATAAACGCCAACACTAGCCCATACTATGAAGTTACAATGAAAACTAGGTAAAGCAATTCCAAATGAAAGGAAGCAGGAGTCATTTTACAATATCCTGAATTTATCGCATCCCGTCCAGCGGTCAGTTAGGCAGGCAAATGAATGGTTAAAAGGCTCCACTGAACCATAATCCCCAATCGTTATACTTAAATGGTTCCTCTCAATATAAAGGAGGCTCTTCGATAACCATAGATCTAATTTCTGTTAATTTTATGTAACTCTAACAGAGTCATTAATATTCGTGGAGCCCACTCCACACACAGCCCCTCCCTCCCCTCCTCCCCTCATTTCTCCTATGAGCACATCTCTTGAAAATTTAATTATTACCAGTAGAATTCCTGCACTAACTAAAGGCTTTTGCAATCAAATCAATAGTTGATGAAAGAGTGGTCCGAAAAAGCCATGTTAAATGCATTATCTGCCTTCCATTTCCACATCATCCGTGTGGCTCCTTTCATGATGTTACAATTGGAGACCCTCAGAATAACATCACTTTCAGGGAGTTAAAGTGTCTAAGTGTTATCCAGAGATGGCTATTATATATTTATAAGGACTCCCCTATATGCCTCTTCTGGATTTATTAAGTGCTCTAAGGATCTGTTTGGCTTATACCAACTATCACACACTGATCAGAGAAATCAAGGAGGAAATACTCAAGTGCATAACTGGACAGAAAGGGAAATGTGTGTGGCTCTCACGACTGCGACAAGGAGCAAGGTCAGTTTTATGTGTTACTTAGAAATGGGAATAAGTCATCTCCCTGCCTTCACCCTACTCTTACACCCCGCAACGTCTGCTCTAATGGAAGAGCCCAAATGCTGTGCTGTCTCTCTTTGTGCTTTTCCACCTATGAAGAGTCTCCAGCACAAAATAACATGCCTTTGGGGAGAAAGAGAAGCTTCACTGTTGTATCCTTTGCCGCTATCAGTGGAATGGGCTCTGGTGCTTTAATTAGGCAACTCCTGTTGCACCAGAGATGGCTCCGTAAAGCAAACATCTTATCTAGGCCATGTGCAGTGCACCTCGTGGCATTTTGCAATACTCCCCGTATATAAGCAGTTTTTAAGCGTCTGACACACACATATTTATAAATGGTTACCTGGTTCTCCAGAAGGGTGGTCAGAGAGAATTGCAGACTATGCAATGCATGATTGTACTGTGTACATTACTAGACTATTACAGACCAGGCTGGAGAGGTGCATTTAGATAGGTTCTCTGGATAAACAAGCAGAGTCCTCTCTTAAAGGGCTGACAGGCTGAATAAATAAGTTGGAATCCTAATATATAGGACCAGGTGTGCAAACACAGTTCAGATCCTCTCATCTAAGCAATAGGGGATGCAGCATCACATTGTCTGGAAAATTCGGCCTGCCACTATTTTCCTGCTAAATTGTGCAGATAATTACTTCACTGTTCCATTTCACTCTGACTTAGAAACCTAGTCACAGGATAATAACAGGTCATACAGGGCAGAAGCTTGTTTGCATGTTTAAAATGCTCGTCTATCGGCAAGCAATTCTCATGCACCTTGTACTGCCCTCAGGACGTTTTATTCTGAAGGAAGTCAAAACTCAGACTCTAAAAATAATCAGTGGATGTGGACAATGATCCTTTAAGAGCAGGATTCAATGAGAAAGAACAGAATGCTGTGGGAATGAGAAGCCAGAGCTCCAGAAGGGCTTCACGGCACACAGAGGCTTACCATGGCCTCTGGCAGACCCCTGACTTTTTCACATCACCCATAGAGAATGAAATGGACATACATCACAGGGTAAATGCATGAGGCTGCTGCCAGCCAGTGGTAGCCACAGCCACTAGACCCCCGGAACAGACCTGGGGGCCCCCAAAGGTGGAGGGGATCACTGTCTCACGACCCCTGGTGATGCACTTGAAGTCCTCTAGTTGAGACACTCTGCTTTCAGAGAGGTGTAAGCTGAGACTTAATTAAGCAACGAAAAGGATATAAAAAGACAGAAGAAAACTGTGCTATGAACTAATGTATCATTCTTTGAAGAACGGCTATAGTTTTGCTAAGATAAATGTAACCAAGAAACAAAGCCTCAAAAGTAGTGTGGTTCAATGATTAGGTGCCCACGTTTCAGAATTAGAAAGTTCTGGGTTTTAGACTCTGCCCTGCTTCCAAATAGGTGCATGCCCTTGGGCAAATTATTTTACCTCTCCAAGAACAGGAGGGGTTTCCTAGTCCCTACCCATTACTATAATTCAGCCTGCCACTATTTTCCTGCTAAATAAATCTCATAGACCTATGCTGTGATGAATTAATGTGATCATGTAAATAAAGCACTTTGCACAAAACCTGGCACATGGAATGTTCCACAAATTTCAGCAATGATATTAGCAACATAAGTATTGCTAGTAAGGTTGCTAAGTTGTTTGAGGCTAAAAGTCAGCAGCTTAGGAGGTAGAATGAGGGATGAAAGCATGACTTTTAAAAACTAGGGATATGCAAACATTTTACGTAGTTGCTGGTGCAGAAAAAAAGAAAAGAAAAAAGAAACAATTATTTCCGAAGCAGAAGTCCTGGTCAAATCAGAGGAAAAGGGAATATTTTTGACAGCTGTCTAGGGCCAATTAGGACTTCTGTTTCATATGACACATTCAGATGTTTATCTGTGAAGTAGTCCCATTTTCTGTTCTCCCCCCGCCCGCTTTCTCTGCGTTTGCTTTTGCGGATGCATGGATAAACAGATACAACATTTAATGCAACTGCCAACGGGGCTGCCCGTCACTGTCGTGCCAGCTGCAGGGTCTTCGCTGAGGGAGCTTCCAAGTGTCATTTTATTAATGTGGAGAGAAGAATAACAGATTATAAATATTTGAGGTCTGTCCAGCCAGAGTACAAAGGATTATCTATTATCCCTTGTGCACTAAACCTAGGTAAAAGTTAGTTATGGAATTTGAGATAAAGTTGGATTTCTGTGAAACATAAGAGAACATCATTTGTAGCCTCGTCAGTTGTGACATATGAATACACATGATCTCCAAAGGGGAACATAAATGATAAATTCTCAGTACCTACAGGGCACCATGTACTAAGTATGCGATCAGTTTAGATTGGTAATATAGAGCACCATCCTATTTGCAGTATATATTCATCAAAAATTTCTCAGAAAGAAAAAAAGATTTGTAATTGCAAGATGTCATTATTTGTACATTTTGTCTTATTTAGAAATAGACATTTGAATGCCTACAGTGAAATGTCCACATAAAACACATTTATAAAGCACTTCATTTACCAGTTACTTTACATCTATTTATCACTCGCAATTTCCCCATCATCCAGTGAAAACTGCAAGAGCATCTTTAACTCCATTCTACAGATGAATAAATTGAATCTAAAGAAATTAAGTAATTAACCATGTACCGTGTGATTTGAAAAGCTGAGAGCCAGCACTCAAAGATCCTAGCCCCGGACCTGGGATAAAGATCCTAGGTCTTCCAACTATTGATCACGCCTCACAATCCATCCACCTCATCATATATCCTCCTATTATGGAGGCATTATTTCAGGGACAGGAAAAGTCAAGGCTGAGGATGAACGGGTACAACTGTCCCCACATGGCAGCCAGAAATGTTGGTACAAGTCCAGAAAACACAAAAGGCAGAAGCTTCAAGACTGCACAGGCACAACGCCAGCCTTTTGGGTGGACTGGC